TTATATAGTTGTGACATGATATGGCCAATATCATATAGCTCCATTGATCTCCATCTTCGGGGCTCCATGATCATCTTGTCACCGGCTTGACACCATGATCTCCATCATCATGATCTCCATCATCGTGTCTTCATGAAGTTGTCACGCCAACGACTACTTCTACTTCTATGGCTAACGCGTTTAGCAATAAAGTAAAGTAGTTTACATGGCGTTCTTCAATGACACGCAGGTCATACAAAAAATAAAGACAACTCCTATGGCTCCTGCCGGTTGTCATACTCATCGACACGCAAGTCGTGAATCCTATTACAAGAACATGATCTCATACATCACAATTCATCATTCATCACAACTTCTGGCCATATCACATCACATGAACAATCACTGCAAAAACAAGTTAGACGTCCTCTAATTGTTGTTGCATCTTTTACGTGGCTGCAATTGGGTTCTAGCAAGAACGTTTTCTTACCTACGAATAACCACAACGTGATTTTGTCAACTTCTATTTACCCTTCATAAGGACCCTTTTCATCGAATCCGCTTCAACTAAAGTGGGAGAGACAGACACCCGCCAGCCACCTTATGCAACTAGTGCATGTCAATCGGTGGAACCGGTCTCACGTAAGCGTACGTGTAAAGTTGGTCCGGGCCGCTTCATCCCACAATACCGCTGAAGCAAGAAAAGACTAGTAGTGGCAAGCAAGTTGACAAGATCCATGCCCACAACAAAATTGTGTTCTACTCGTGCATTAGAGAACTACGCATAGACCTAGCTCTGATACCACTGTTGGGCAACGTTGTAGAAAATTAAAATTTTTCCTACGGTTTCACCAAGATCCATCTATGAGTTCATCTAAGCAACGAGTCAAAGGGAGTGAGTTTGCATCTACATACCACTTGTAGATCGCGTGCGGAAGCTTGCAAGGGGATGGTGATGATGGAGTCGTACTCGACGTGATTCAGATCACCGATGTCCAAGTGCTGAACGGACAACACCTTCGCGTTCAACACATGTACGGGACGGGAGACGTCTCCTCCTTCTTGATCCAGCAAGGGGGAAGGAGAGGTTGAGGAAGATAGCTCCAACGGCAGCACGACGGCGTGGTGGTGTTGGTGCAGCAGTACTCCGACAGGGCTTCGCAAGCACGTAACGGAGGAGGAGATGTGTTGGGGAGGGGAGGGGCTACGCCTGGAAGATGTGTACAGCAGCCCTCCCCTCACCCCTCTATTTATAGGGGAAGGGGCAAGGGGGGCCGACCCCTCTAGATGAGATCTAGAGGGGGGCGGCGGCCAGGGAGGGGGGACTTGCCCCCCAAGCAAGGGGGGCGCCTCCCTTAGGGTTTCCCCCCAACCCTAGGCGCATGGGCCCAAGGTGGGGGGCGCGCCCAGCCCTCCAGGGGCTGGCTCCCTCCCCTTTGCGGCACATGTGGCCCTCCGGGAGGGGTGGCCCCTCCCGGTGGACCCCCGGAACCCCTCCGGTGGCCCCGGTACAATACCGATAAGCCCTCGAAACTTTCCGGTGTCCGTATGACAACTTCCCATATATAAAACTTCACCTCCGGACCATTCCGGAACTCCTCGTGACGTCCGGGATCTCATCCGGGACTCCGAACAACATTCGGTAGTCACATACTAGTCTTCCTAATAACCCTAGCGTCACCGAACCTTAAGTGTGTAGACCCTACGGGTTCGGGAGACATGCAGACATGACCGAGACCCCTCTCCGGTCAATAACCAACAGCGGGATCTGGATACCCATGTTGGCTCCCACATGCTCCTTGATGATTCATCGGTTGAACCACGATGTCGAGGATTCGATCAAACCCTGTATACAATTCCCTTTGTCAATCGGTACGTTACTTGCCCGAGACTCGATCGTCGGTATCCCAATACCTTGTTCAGTCTCGTTATCGGCAAGTCACTTTACTCGTACCGTAATGCATGATCCCGTGGCCAACACCTTGGTCACCTTGAGCTCATTATGATGATGCATTACCGAGTGGGCCCAGAGATACCTCTCCATCATACGGAGTGACAAATCCCAGTCTCGATCCGTGTCAACCCAACAGACACTTTCGGAGATACCTGTAGTGCACCTTTATAGTCACCCAGTTACATTGTGACGTTTGATACACCCAAAGCACTCCTACGGTATCCAGGAGTTACACGATCTCATGGTCGAAGGAAGAGATACTTGACATTGGAAAAAGCTCTAGCAAACGAACTACACGATCTTTGTGCTATGCTTAGGATTTGGTCTTGTCCATCACATCATTCTCCTAATGATGTGATCCCGTTATCAACGACATCCAATGTCCATAGCCAGGAAACCGTGACTATCTGTTGATCACAACGAGCTAGTCAACTAGAGGCTCACTAGGGACATATTGTGGTCTATGTATTCACACGTGTATTACGATTTCCGGATAATACAGTTATATCATGAATAAAAGACAATTATCATGAACAATGAAATGTAATAATACTTTTATTATTGCCTCTAGGGCATATTTCCAACAGGACACTCCATGGTTCCGTTATCGGTCATTGAACGAAGGAGTTTTGTTAATGTCTATGATTTACCAAACCTACAACTTAACAAGCTTAAGGTAATCACGATCTGCTGAGTGTTAGTAGGACGGGAGTATCGAGGATTTATTTGTGAAATAGTTTCATTAATGTTAGGAGTAGTTCCAAGAGGAACCCGAAGTGTTTCGGGGTCACCCGAAGGGTTTCAGAGTTTATCGGGCAATATCGGGTATTCCCAACAATTAATATATAGGTGGAAAATGTTTTTGGTGATGTTAAATTAATAATAAAAGGCTCTAGTAATTGTTAGAAGGCTTTTTATATTTAATTTAATATCAACGTGCCTTAAAAGGCAAAGTGGTGGAAAGAGTATTGGGCCACCAATAGGAGGTGCCCCCCTTCCTTGGCTGGCAACCCAAGGAGGGTCTTTCCTTCCTTGGTGGCAGCCCCTCGTCTCCCCTCTAACATATATACTAGACGATTTTGCCGTTTGGGCACAAGTTTTGGAGCCTCCTCTAGTTCTAGTTGATCATAGTTGATGAATTCGAGCTTGACCTAGATAATCTAATCCTCATAATTAGAAGTCCGGTGTGGTTCTAATCTCCTCCCTCTAATTCTCCAGTGATGTTTAGCTTTGGACAACGAAGCGTTGCTGGATCGTGAAAACCATACGCTTGCAACCAAGTAGAGAGGTTGTGCTTTTGGTCTTCCATTCATGGTATCGTTCGTGGGCAGTTCACGTGATCATTCATCTACGGTTCGAGGGACTCCAAGTATGATCTACACCGACTCGTCTAGTTCCGCTGCACTCCAGAGTCGGTAGCGATCGTGATCCAAACTAAACCTTATATACATATTCATATTGTTCCTAGGTGATCGTAGGGAAATTTTTTTTGTTTCCTACCAAGTTTGCCAACGGTGGCATAATGAGCGGTTCTATGCTTCCCTCGTGTGTTGCTTCGGTTCAGTTCATTGACGGCATGATGTAGCTTTGTACAAAGTTCTGCCAATCGACCAGCTCTGACTGTCGATGATTTGCTAACAATTCTCTGGGCTTCACACTACAAAATTTGCTCTATTCAGTAACAAAAACCCTGGTGACGAAACAGGAACCGTCGCCTCCTTTTTTCTTCTTCTTTGTTTCTTTCTTGTTTTGATTGCCTTTTTTCTTTTATCCCCCCCCCTTCGTTTTTCTTTGGTTTTGTTTTTCATCGTTTATTTTGTTTTTCTCTTGGTTTCACTGTTTTTGTGTGCCCAATTTTCGTATATATAACTAATATGTTTCCCTAATACATATTTAACATTTATTAAATACAAGATTAACCTTTTTTGGAATACATGGTCAACATTTTTACTACACATATTTAACATTTTTTGAATGCTTGAGTAACTTTGTTCAAATACAAGATTAACATTTTTTGGATACATTGTAAACATTTTTTTTCTATACGCATTTAACATTTTTTTAAATGATTGATAAAAAAATTTCAAATACAGTTTTAACATTTTTGGAATACAATACAAGATCAACATTTCTTGAATACAAGGTCAAAAAAATTTCTATACACATTTAACATTTTTTGAATAGATGGTCAAGAAAAATTCTATACACATTTGAACTTTTTCAGATGCTTGATTAAAAAATTTTGAATACAAGTTTAACATTTTTGGAGTACAATACAAGATTAACCTTTTTGGAATACATGGTCAACATTTTTCCTCTACACATATAACATTTTTAAAATACAAGATTAACATTATTTGAGTACAAGGTCAACATTTTTTGTATACACATTCAACCTTTTCCAAATACAAGTTTAACATTATTTGAATACATGGTTCTATATACATATAATGTTTTTTCAAATACTTGTTTGACATTATTTCAAAAGGTTGATTAATATTTCATGACCAACTTTTTCACACACATTGTATATTTTTTGTATACACACATTTACATTTTTCGAATGCTTGGTTAATATTTTTTGAAATGTTTTATGTAAAGTGGTTTCTACTATATATTTATTTATACTCGTATAAACGAAAGTAAAAAAAGAAAAGGTGAAAAGAGGCCTCCCGCGCGCATGGGCCAGCCCATCTGGCACACTCCCCTGCGGCAAAGCCTGTGTGGGCTGTTATAAGGCTCGCCAGCCCATGATATGTCGATACATATATATAAGGCGGAGAAAGGAAATGAGACCGCTAAACCTAGATGCCACACCCTATCCCAGCCGCCGCCGCCGCCGCCGTCGCCGCCGCCGCCGCTGCAACCGCCGCCTTCGATTCCGTGGAATTGGAGGGGAAGACAATTGGATCTGTCTGCCGCAGGTATTTCTCTTGCCCGTTGAACGTTGGTATTTTATTTCCCTGGCCGGTCTTGTTTGTTTTCGTGGAAATGCCCTGTCTTGTGGGGTTTCATTCATCTTCTAATTCGTCATCTCTGTTTTCCAGGAGGAGTGGGGAGAAATAGAATGAAGGCGCGACAGTTCCTGAATGTTGTGATGGAGAGGTATGGCACTGGCGGTGCCGGTGGCAGCTTGTATACGGTCAGTCGCATCAACGCCAAGGAACACCTCTTCTACCGATCCACGGCCGAAGCACAGGCAGCAGAAAAATCAAGGTTCGATATGGAGTGCATCTGGCGAATGCCTACGTCCAGGCTCAGGTTCGAAGCATACCGCTCGGATGACAAGAGGCTCAATTTCCTGCCCTTCTATGGACGACGCAGCGGCGGCGATAGCAAGATGCTCTGCATGGACGCCGCTGGCCACACCGTGCTCTGTGATGCCGCTGGCCTCTCTGTCATGCCGGCTCCCTGCCTTAACGAACCCAAGGTTGACAGCCCTGTTTCTTTCTCCATCACCCGCACCAACGTGGAAACCCCCAATCGCGCCGATGCTCTCTACGTCCTCGACAGATTTGTCACGAGCCGCAACTCCTTCAACTTCGAGGCACTCATGTTTGGCGAGAAGACCTGGGACTGGGTTCGGCTTCCACCGCCGCCCTATGTCAACAACCCGGCCTACAACTCCACATCCATCCAGTCCTACACGCTCCTGGCTGATGGCTCCACCATTTGCATCTCCTCCCCTCGGCACAGCCTCGTCGGCACCTACTGCTTCGACACGATTAGCTGTAAGTGGAGCAAGGCTGGCCGCTGGGCGCTTCCCTTGTACGGCCGGGCTGAGCATGTACCTGAGCTGGGCAACCTCTGGTTCGGCATGGCCGACAACAGCCCCCACAATTTTTCCGCATTGGACCTCTCCAACCTAGACGGGGCTCCAAAGTTGCTTCAAGACTGGCAAGACCTTGACCCGCCTGAGGATTGGGTGCAGATGAGGTGCAGCCTGCTGTACCTGGGCGCGGGCAAGTTTTGCATAACCAAATTCTTCAACATCGGGGACCCAGACACAGAGGACAACACAACCGCTGCTGTGCTCACCGGAGTGGAGGTGCTGTGTGGAGTTTCTGGTGGGGAGGTGGTGCACGGAGGATCGTCCGAACTCCAGATGATCAAGCACAAGTCTTTTATCAGCTATGACGGCATCCAGTGCGTCCTCTGAAATACGTACTAGGGAAGTCGTTAAAACGAGAGCAAATGAATTATGAGCATTTTAGAAGACGGCCGAGTGGTTGTTTTCGTTGCAGCTGTTTCCATTGGAAGCCTTGTTCGTTTTGTGGATCTATTTTCCGCTGGGATTGGGTTGATCTCCACCATTTCTTCTGCTAGAGAAATATAGTCCTAGCACTTTTAAACCATTTGATTAGTCCGCATGAGTGATTGAACTGAAAAGAACAAGCAAGCATGCATGCTATCAATCTTTTGGCTAGAATTTCACAAAATGCACCTATCGAGTGTACTCTAACAATTGACGTGTCCCATCTCCTCATGATTAAAGAGTTTAGCTGAGCCGGCAACATGGAGCAAGATGCTGTCGTTTCCGAGCATCAACCCTTGGTTGTCATCAATGAACCTGCAACATTCATCATGCCCATTGTAAAATATGTTAGATTCAAATAAGAAAAGAACTGAACTCTGAACATTTGATATTATCTAAATCCATCCTTACTTTATGGAGTAAAGATTACAGGAGATGTCATCGGCAGCAAAAAAAGGGCAATATATTTCACAGATTCTAGTGTTGCAACAACGTTAGGTCTCCAATGACAGTGCTCTTCACAACCAGAAAGGGCATTAAGCCAAATAATTATTTTGCACCAAGATAATGAGAAAGCATATAATGTGAGTTACCTTAGGAGATTTTTAAATGATCTGATGAAAGGCCTCCCAACCATGGCTGCTTGTTGATATGAAGCGTTATTATTGAAATATCCAATAAAGCAATACCCTTGCACGTTCCGGTTCCATACCAGCTGCCTGCAGACCAACATGCCCGTCTTTCTACTATACCATGAGAAATAAAAAAATGTGGTAGGAGTAGTTCAAATCTTCAATATAAAAGTCACAGACAACAGCTTCCTCAATTCATCTTCCAGCCAAAATATGAACCTCGTGGAAAGATGGACAGACATAATTAGTGTACATAGAAAACTAGTGGTGCACAAATTCATTGAATAAGTATGTGCATCCATTCATCAAAATCCTTGTATACAAAAATCTTAAATTAACTATGGTGTGTCATGACAAAAATTTCCCCTTTTTTTTTGCGTAAGTATGACAAAAGATTCACTAGCAAGATTGAGATGGATACATCAGGCATTGAGAGGATCCTGGATCTCAACAAACGACTCGTGATTATCCAAATAACCTCTGTTAGTCAAAAATCTGTCGCTAATTCAGATGTTCTCAAATTCAGACCTCCTCAGGATGTCATCAAATTCAATGTGATGCACCGTTCTGTCTGGGAAATGGCGACGCAGCCTGGGGGTGATAGCTGGTAGCTCGTGGTGGCATGAAAAGCTGGAACGGTCATGGGCTACTCCGAGCATGCAGTGGTGCTGGACGATCTGAAGGTGCAAATGCGTAATGCCTCATTCGGTTTGGAAGAAACTAAAATGTACGGAGTTGGAATTAGGAGTAGTATAGGAATTTGATAAGATGACACTTGTCATCCTAAAAACTTGTCTTGCCTCGTTCCTACGCAAAAAATGAGCTTTGAGTGGATACGACAAAAAACGAGCTTTGGGTGGATGTGTACTTTCTTCCAAAAAACACAGAAAATGAATAGTATTCATATGAAAGTCATGTACGCGTTTTCTACGAACCGAATACATCTATAGAAAATTTTCCTATGAAATCCTTGTTCCTACGTTTTTTCTATGAAAATCCTCCAAACTGAATGAGTCCTAAGTGGGTTTCTGCTCCGAAGTTCAGACGTCTCGTAGGGAAGCACACGACACAAGGCATGCCCTTGCTAAACTAGGCCTTCAATGTAAGGAAGAGGATGGCTCTCGGGTGCCACACACCCCTACATAAATATAGCACTAAAAGATACATTAGAAAATTTAAAAAAATCTAAAATTTTGGAATATGAAACCTGGGTGCCCGTTGTACACACCTGTTCAATTTCGTGGGGAATGGGTGCCCGTGGTAATGTCAATAAAAAAGAAAAAAATTCGTATGTGTAAATAAAAACAGGGTGTAACGTACGTCGACCGTAATTCCTGCTCCGCGGATACCACGGGCACCCACTCCCCATAAAAATGAACACGGGTGTACAATGGGCACTCAGGTTTTGTATCCCAAAATTTCTTGATATTTTTTAATACTATTTTCATATAGGGGTGTGTGGCACCCGGGTGCTCCAATGCATTTCCCTTCAATGTAATGGTGACTATTGGTTGGGGCACCACCCTGTGGCACCGTCTGAGAGGAAGTTTGTGCGGTGCCAGGTAGGATGCTGCGCCTTCCATTGAATTCTAGCTCTGATTGATAACATACATGCATGTACAACTGATGTATACAACTGATGCATTCTCATCAAAAAGTGAACCAAATTCTGCAAATAAACAAACAATTCTTCAAACATTCTGTAGGCAACCATTCAACATAATTCCATAGACGACAGATATAATTTTCTACAGAAATCTTATGTCAACTATTTACTAAGAATGCTAGGTTAACAAGGTCAGAATAGTACTGTTATCCACAAGAAGGTAATTTGTTTCTTGCGCAGATCAACACTGCCAAACCCAACCATCAAAAACCCAGAAACAGTGATATGCAAGAATAAGAAAACTCAATGTCAAACATTACTTCGGTTGTTAAAAACATCATTCATTCACTCATCATAAACATTATTTTTCGTTGTCAAATCCTATACACCAAATTGGCATTTACAAGAAGTCAACTTCTCATTTCTAAATGGCTGAAACGTGATCTACTCCTTTCGTACCTAAATATATGTCGTTTTGGTAGGGATTATTAGGTAACAACAAATGCTAACAATCAAATTCCTATGGACAAAAATCAGACCATAAGTATCTAAGACAAACATACAAGCACTGAAGTATATGGGGCATCCATCAAAAGTCCAGTCAACGTTTCATACGAATCCAACCAAATCTAATATCATACAAGGATGTGAGAAGAGAAGGCACCTTTGGGAATGATAGCTTTGGTGGAGGTTCGACAACTTCACCAAAGTTGACACCTTACCAGCCTTGTGCTTCTTTTTCTTCTCATCCAGATGTCTATAATCAATGATACAAGATATGCTATTATCCATTTATTATTATATGTTTCCATGAGTGAATGTGGAGGTTTTCTTAGAGTATTTGTCCTAGTTCAAAAATAAAAGCTGAAGCAACATACATGGTTTATTCCTTACACGAGGGAACATTGAATCCAAATGGATTGATGCGAAAGCTACACAATTAGAGTCAAGCAAACCAGGATAGATCAAATGGTCAGACAACTTACTTCTGCATTTTCCGCTTCTTCAAAACCGGGACATTCGCCTCAAGTTCCTTGAAAAATATCCTCAATAGGATTTCCAAAACCGCCCTCGAATCCACCACCTCCAACAACTTTCTCATATTCGTCGGCGCCAACCTGTAAAACCAGGCGAAGTTATCAATGCAGATTCCATGTTAGCATGATAGTCTGGGCAAGCTTACTCTAAAAGGTTGGTGTTTTAATTTTCTGGAAAGGTAGGTGACCCTTGCAATAGGTGAACACAAAACAAAGAATTGGTCAAAGTGTATTTCTGTCTAATTATCTTAAGTTTCAAGCAATTAATTCTTTGTAACTCATGAACATACAAAAAGAAACAGCCATTGTCAGTCAAAGGAAAATAGACGTATATAATTAGAGGAATTAAACTGTTACCTGATCATAGAGCGTTTTTTCTTCATCCTTCAAAGTCTACAGAGAAAACGTGAAAATGCATGTATCAGTACTATGGAAAGCTGTACATCTTCAAATTGACAATCTTGCTCGGGCTGGCTTTGCTGCCCTGGGCCGTCACGGCCCCTTCCAGGCTGGAAGGCCCCATCCCTCAAAAAAAAAACCTCAACCCCTATGAAAGAAAATTATCCAAATTTTATCTACAACGACCCTTACAGCTAAACAACAATAACAACAACAAGCTTACACGACCACCAGACAATGTATATCTATCTGGCTGACGCACATACATGATGATGTCATGAGTACATTTATATCAGTTGGTGCTCAGGAGGGAGGATGTCAGAAGCGCCTCTTCTGCTGAGGGTACCCGGCTACATCCCCATCCCTTGATCTGCCTTCCTTCCCAACTGTCAACGCCAAGAAAATCAAACGATTTGTTGATAGTCACAAGCGTTATAACAGTAGCTAGGAACATAAGAGAATTAAAAATATACAACAGACATGGTGTGGATGAGACTGGCCACCCGCGTGTAACGCCCCAGATTCGTTGCGCCAGGTGTCCGCCAGTTATTCGCCGTCACTGCCATGTCATTTGCTTGCGTGTTGCATTTTATCATGTCATCATGTGCATCTCATTTTGCATACGTGTTCGTCTCATGCATCCGAGCTTTTTCCCCGTTGTCCGTTTTGCAATCCGACCCTCCTATGTCATCCGACGTCCCCTTTTGTCTCCTGTTGTGAGTGGGTGTTAAACTTTCTCGGAATGGCCCGAGGTTTGCCAAGCGGCCTTGGTATAGCACCGGTAGACCGCCTGTCAAGTTTTGTGCCATTTGGAGGTCGTTTGATACTCCAACGGTTAACCGGGGAATCGTAAAGGCCTCTTTTGTTTGCAGCCCAACACCCCTTCCAAAATGGCCCAAAAATCCCTCCAAACCCCCTCCATGATCTCGGTCGTTCGATCACGATCGCGTGGCCGAAAACCGTGCCTCATTTGGACTCTCCTAACTCCCAGAATCTATAAATAGGTCCTCCCCGTCCATTTTCGCGGATGAAACCCTAGCCTTCTTCCTCTTGCGTCGCCGGACATTTCCCCCGCCGCCGCCGGACGCGTCCGCCGCCCCGCAGCCACGTCGCCCCGACGAATCAGGGCATGCCATGTCGCCTCCGCCGCCGCTCCCATCCAACCACGGCGCGCCATGTGTCCCCGCCGGCTTCCCTCCACCGTGCCTCTCCACCGCACGCCCGCGGGGC